AGATTGCTGAATTCTGCATACATTTTGAATATTACATTCTGAAATATTTTCCAACCCACCAGCTAGATAAGATATAAGGATGTTCAAATGATCAACGATGCAAAGACGTCCGGGCACATAAAACCAATTTAAAAATACACATGAATGTTCGCAGCTGTCTGCGATAACTTTTCTCTTTTTACGACAGTGTTATAGGGTAACTAATCATTATATTTCACAAGAACTACATACAGACGCCATTTGACCCAAATTCTTTCAAGCTGTCTGTGCTACACGCATGCGCTTGCTGTACAAGACCAACCATGGTCGTATCTATATTGTATCACCATGTTTCACCCCACATGAGGCGACACACGTCACAAGGCATGGCATAGTTACCGAAATATATATAATCGTATATTTTTCTGATAAACTAGTATATCGGCGATACACATGGTGCGCGTAAAGTATAGCAGGCAAAAAAATAAAATAAATAAATAAATAAATAAATAAATAAATAAATAAATAAATCAATAAATAAATAAATAAATAAATAAATAAATAAATAAATAAATAAATAAATAAACAAATAATTAAATAAATAAGTAAATAAATAAATAAATAAATAAATAAGTAAATAAATAAATAAATAAATAAATAAATAAATAAATAAATAAATAAATAAATAAATAAATAAATAAATAAATAAATAAATAAATAAATAAATAAATAAATAAATAAATAAATAGTTTACAGAAAGCCATACGGCCACGTGGACATACAGTCAAAGAGGCGAATACTAATAATAGAAGCGTTCAGTTGCGTGTATTTAACAGACATAGCCTAGCAACTAACAAGTATACATATACAGCTATCACACTGTCCTATTTATGTAAAAGCAATAACATATGTTTGTTAATATTAATAGTATGTTGTATACCGGCGCATTTGCCTAAACTTTGAAATACAATGAAGTCAATTAATGCTATGTTACATTGGCTTGAAATTTCACCATATTTATGTATGCAACGACCAATCGTACACATATCTTTCTAGTATGCAATGCCAACTGTGGAACGATACAGTAGAATGCGACTGTAAATGCGATGTTTAATAACTATTGTCATTTGAGTACACCGGGTGTATAACAGGTTAAATATGTAAAGAACACAGTTATATATATACTAGTGAATAAGACGTGTATATTGACGCAAGACAATACAGACTAGTAACACGGTACTATACTTCATTATATGTTAAAATTACAATGTCTATAATTATCACTGACTTTTATTCCAACACAATAACATATATCGTATCGATGTTCATATACTGCCAATGGTTTTCGAATAGGTATTCGCCAGTGGCTATGGCACCCCACTAAATTCCTGTCACACATATCCTAGGTTGCTTTCGATAACTAGTTTCCGTCCAGGCTCGTAAATGGTTAACCATGAACATGAAGTATAATACGCTTCCGGTAACAGAATTTGTAGTCGCAGGGCATAAATTCGACCACGTGCCATATATATAATATAAATAAATAATGAAGTATAACTGATTACATTATACAAATGTTCACCCCAACAGACGTGGACATATAGTGTTAGTGACGCGAAGAGCACATTGTCTCTAAAACTGTATGTCCACCTCTGTTGGGGCAAACATTTGTATTATTATAACGAATAAATTTAAAACAGAAATTGTGTTACTCAATCGTCACAGTCTCCCAGATCACGCTCGTAGAGCTGAATGCTTGTATGAACACAAATATACAACTTGATATATTGTCAAAACACATAAAATACGTAACAAAATAAAAAAAAAAGCCGTGCCGTCACACGCAAAGTCCACTCAGATTCTTTAGGTTGACAGACTGCGCAATCGCAGATCAAATGTCGCGCTGGCGATACGGAAAGCGCGACTAAAAATCACGCGAAATCGCTACAAAATCCTATTTTTCTTTCCAAAAGATAGTCAAATAGTGAACGCAAACCTGGCAAACTAATTATTTGATGAATATTACCGCGTATCGTGTTTCCTTGACAAGTTATTGGCGTAAATAAGGTGAATTCGGGAATAAGGTGCCCGGATGGAGATAGACGTACGAGTATGTCAATAGGTCGACACAGGAATATGTCTACCTGTAATGCGTGAATCTGATTGGCTGTCATGTTCATGAAGTATAATAATCAGCAATACCCAGGGACTGTCCGAATGTAAACATTATGCCGGCATGCTTTACATAATGAAAACAATGATTATATAACATAGCTATATTCACACACGAAATTTAGACACGCCTAAAATTTGTCTAAGGTCCAAAATTTGTCTAAGTGTATAAGGCCGGCCTTATTCTCCGATATGAAAGCACCCAGTGTCACACCTAAGGCCGGCCCATTTTTTTGTTGTTGAATAAATAAATAAAGAGTTTCATTTACAGTTGACCATGTCGTTCAAAATGAATAACCGAAACAAACATACAGATGATTTAGAAGGCATGAATAAAGAAAGACTTGCAAAAGAGAAATCGTACATAGAAGCCGTCCAGTCTGGCGATGCAGCCGCTGTTAAACAATTTATGCGACAGAAATCAACCTTTGATATCGATGCTACAGATGGCAATGGAAAAAATGCACTGGGTTTAGCAATTATCAACGGACAACTAGGTAAGTGGTATGAAGGACATTTATTCGCGATTGACATTGAGCGTTCACATACATCATTCTATAGGTGTTTTTGTGAGATAAGCGAACAAAGCTTTCTAAAAGATAACTGACTATTGTTAGTATCATTTTAAAGTAAAT